AAGGAAGGAAGGAAGGAAGGAAGGAAGGAAGGAAGGAAGGAAGGAAGGAAGGAAGGAGAAGGGAGACAGAAAAAACACCCTGATCTCTGGTTGGGTGGGCTTTCTTTCAGTTTTGATACTAATGAAAAAATTTGGTATACTGACAACTAAATTTACTCAGAAGATAGGAAGTTGTCTCTTTTATGAGGCTATTAACAGAATTATATTCTAATTGACTTGTGTATTTGATGTGATAATGAGGCAGCCTATAAGAGAATGACATTTGTCTGTGAAATCAGATTTTTTAAAATGTCCAGGCCTTCATATTTCCTAGCTAAATGAGCACCAACAGCCTAGGAATGTGCTAAGAACTGTATATTAAATGAACTCATGCTCTTGTTAATGGCATACAATCTCAACAAATAAGCCTCAAGGGAAAATAACAATGATTTATAATGAGCAGTTCTTCTCTTGCTGTAATACAGAGTGCAACTCACTCTACTGAGTAGCGTTTTTTGAATCTGAATCTCTGATCCCATCCACATATATAGATTTATTTTAGTTTTTAACTCACCCCAAAAAATATTTGGCATAGGAGTATTGCTGGGGATTATTTGATAGTGATTCCTTTTTCTCCATACAGAACTGTTTATACCACCTTGGGACCTTTGGAAGAAAGGTGGGATGTAAGTAATTTGCCAACAGCAACTTCTTCATGAGTGTATGTGCAGAGGAGCTGGAATGCCCATTAAAACATTTTGTGGCACCAAAATGACAGCACATGAGAGATGGCCAGAGGCCAAGGAGGCTTAATCTTCCAAAATTAGGGCTTGAGAAAAGTTTTTTAATTTCTTCATTTTCTCAACCTTGTGTGTTCCTTAAGCTGTTCCTTAAGAACCAGATTAAAGCAAAGCACTAAGTGTGAATAGTAATAGAAAAACATATACTCATAGTACATATAAAACTTAATAAAGAAATCTATAATGCAAGAGTCTGGCAACCAAGTTATTAAGAACAAGAACTCCATTCAGCAAGTCACTGAAATGTGAAATAGACTTGGGAACAAAGTATCAGCCTCATGAGTAACTAGCTAATTTTCTTTTTAAACTTCTTGCTGCCAGCTGACACCATCATCTAATTTCTTTCATCTCCCACTCATTCCTGCAGGCTTAAATAAAAAGAACTGGGGTTGTCATGAGGCTGGAGGGTTTAGGAGAAAGGGGCATCTTTCCCTTTTCTCTCCTCCCCCATCTTAAAAGGATCATTCCCTGTACCTCAGAGAGCACACGTAAGATTCAAATCAGAGAGCTTTATTGCCAGACAGTGACAACACTCCAGGACAGTGGGGATTAAAAAAAAAAAAGTTATCTCCTCTTCACCCCTCCAAAGGGGAGGTTTCAGTTTCACAATACACAGCTGTCTACAAGATGTTATAAACTGTTATGGCTCACATGGATTAGGTGTTCTCCTCCACCCCCATTTTTTAAATTATTTTTAGATTTGTTATGGGCCCACACATGGAGGGAGCCCCATCCAAAACATAGCTCATTGTTTTAAATGATAAAATGAAACAATACTTTATATTCAAGATAACAAAATTAATCTGTTTGATATTTCAGTGTTTCATATTTCTCTACATGCTCCTGATTATTGGGCTGCAGAGTTCAACAAACAAAACACTGGATTAAAAAAAGGCATTGATGTAGGATGCAGCAAGAAGAAAATGGAGAATTCTAAAATGAGCATTTTGCTCGTGGGCCAGTCAGAGTCTGAAAAGGGTCATATCTCAGTCTTCAGGTTTTGAATCTCACAATTATTGTGCAAAATTCTTTTGCTTCAGTTTTGTAAAATGGTATCGTTTACAACTGATATCTTTTTGCCTGAATTCCACCAAATATTTGGAAAGTACTACTCACTTTGGGGGGTCCATTTTATTTTTAAAGGTGATAGATATGGGTCCACCCAAGTTCGGTACTGGGAACAATGATGAAATTGAACAATCAATAATTTTTAAGACTAAAAATCCTTACATGGAAAAAATATACCCAGTTCTTTCTTATTTAATATTTCTTGCCTACAACCAAAATGAGTCCAGGTATTGAGCAGTAATGCAAATGTTACACTTGGTCATTTGAAGCAATATCCTTCTAGTGATTAAGAGTGAATGCTTAGATGCTCTCTGGTAAATCACACTAAATAATACCACTACCACTGAAGAAGGGATTTTTATTTTTATCTATTTTATTTGTTTTAGAAGATATGGATGTTTCTCATAGGGTGGAACTTCAAAGAGCTTTTGAAGGAAATAAAAAGGATTTCAAATAGATTAGTGAAATTTCTTTCTGTGTATGTGTGGGCTTGCATGCAGAGGACACTTAGTTTCACCAGAGACTTACAGTCGTGTGAAAAAGAAAGTACACCCCCTTTGAGTTCTATGGTTTCATGTGTCAGGACATAATAAAAATCATCTGTTCCTTAGCAGTTCTCAAAAGTAGATAAATACAACCTCAGATGAACAACAACACATGACTTATTACACCATTTCATCATCTATTTTACAAAAAGAAAGCCAAAATGGAGAAGCCATGTGTGAAAAACTAGGTACACCTTATGATTCAATAGCTTGTAGAGCCACCTTTAGCAGCAATAACTTGAAGCAATCATTTTCTGTATGACGTTATCAATCTCTCACATTGTTGTGGAGGAATTTTGGTCCACAATT